GGCATTGCTCTGGCTGACTCCATAAAAGAGCCGAGTCATGCAGCCATTTTCTCTCTCTTGATGCTGATCTCTTGCTTGCTGATCTCTTGCTGCCATGCTGCTCTCCTGCAGCCATTTTGTTCTCTTAATGTAATTTTGCTGTCTGCTGGCTCTCAGCCAGCAGCACATGAGCTCAATCTCCCTATGAGACAAACTCAGACTTTGTTATGTAACTACTAAGTAAAGCCTGCCTTTCAGGGATCAAATCGTGAACTGAAATGTGAGTAAACTTCTTGTTACTTTTAAAGGAAAGACTCGTCTCTTTATTCTTTTATGAGGGATAAAAGGGGACACCAGGAATAATCCATCTGGCGCAAACCAGATTGGATTACTTAACTAAAAAGATTCAAACGAATCTGCAAATAGCTTTCCTGCTATATTGAGGGGTCCGTATAAGTTAAAGCTATGGTTTTCCCAGTAGTGAAGTATGGAAGTGAGATCTGGACCATAAAGAAGGCTTGATCACCGAAGAGATTGATGCTTTTGAATTATGGTGCTGGAGGAGACTCTTGAGAGTCCCATGGCACTGCAAGAAGATCAAACCTATCCATTCTGAAGGAAATCAGCCCTGAGTGCTCACTGGAAGGACAGATCCTGAAGCTGAAGACTCCAATACTTTGGCCACCTCATGAGAGAGAAGACTCCCTGGAAAAAAGACCCTGATGTTGGGGAAAGATGGAGGCACAAGGAGAAGGGCGACGACGAGCGACAAGATGGCTTGACAGTGTTCTCGAAGCTACCAGCATGAGTTTGACTAAACTGCAGGAGCAGTGGAAGACAGAAGTGCCTGGCGTGCTCTGGGTCCATGGGGTCACGAAGAGTCGGTCACGAACTAAACGACTTAAACAACAACAATATTGGAGGGGAATCTGCTCTGCTACATCACTCCAGTAGCGTCGAGTGAAGGAATGATAATATTTATTCAGTAATATCATTTCCTACTATCCTTAACATTTCCAACACCTCCATCTTGCCCTCTTCAGGTACCAGCCTTTGGTTGCCCAGAAAACAGAGAGCTACTACATTCCATTGGTAAGTCTTGCATTTCCCAATCATTCCCTTTCTTTCATACACCCTTGGCACTGGGAGAATTTAAATTAGAGAGGAAGGGGGGAATGACTTAAGAGGAAGAGAAGAGAAGGGAAAAGAGAAGAGGGTGGAGGTGGAACTGTACTGAGAGAACATGGATGAAAGAGAAACCAAGACATGCAAAGAGAGAGAAGGGGATGTATATCTATTGGGAGGGGGAGTAAGAAATGGAAGTGTGTGTGTGTGTGTGTGTGTGTGTGTGTGTGTGTGTGTGTGTGGTCTGACTCCCTGATCCCTAAGGGAGAGCGAAGTTAGTAGAAGAGCAAGGGGCAGTTTTTGAGACATACCCTCTCTACTGCAAAATACTATTCTGTTCTCGGTCCTCCTGCTAGAAACCTGTTTTGCTTTTCTCTTTGGCACTGTGAAGGAAGGAGAAATGGCCCGTGTTCACATCCTAGTCCTACAGGGTGACAGAGTGAGCTTTAAGGGTTCAAAGAAGGTGCAGGTCAAGAGCTCTCCCACAAATTAACCTGATGGATCTAGACAAGCCCTTTTACAAGCCTGGAGAGAGAGGTGGGTATCGGAGTGGCCATGGAACCGGGAGGATGACTGCAGCTTCTGTCCCATCTTTGGGGATGGAACGGTGTTCCCGGCAAATAGGAATCAAATAAGCAAACTCAGTGTTCCAAGAACTAAGCTATTAAACCAAAGCCGAGTGCCTTTCAAGAGCCCCAGATGCTCTACAGATCTGCATACAATAATAAGTTGACATCAACCAATTTGCCTTGCTAATTCAGCAGGGGGTGGAAATCTAGTCCTTGGTTTTAAAATGCAACAACATGAAGGAAGTATGTGGGAGCAACAACAAAAACCAGAAATGAATAATCTCTCTGTTTGTTTGTTTTCCCCCTTCAGTAAAACTTCGAATTGTGCAGCTTGATGAACAATTTAAGGTCCGCAATAAATCTGTAAGTATTGGTCTCTTATTATGATCACAGGACTATCAATTCCTCAAAATGTCATAAGCCCGGGAAGGTCTCCTTACTGGACCCAGAGACAAATACTTTGCTATTTCTCAAGTGGGGGAACATCTTTTAGGAGTTTTCTCATGCTTCCATTCGCTTGTGAATTGGGCCCAGAGTTTCTGCGGGACATTAGCTCTGTATTAAAATGCACTGAGGAGCATTGCAGTGGTGATGAAACATGAGGAATTAGTACCACAAACTTCACCTATACAAACTGCAGATTCAGATATCTCAGGCACGTCCAACAGGTAGATTGTGATCCACCCGGTAGATCACTGGATGTCCTGTGGTAGATCACTGGATGTCTGTGGTAGATCACTGGCACCCCCCAAAAAAGCTAAAACAAGGTCAACATTTTGCACCCCGCCAAAAATGAGGCTTTCCTCCTCCCTAAAAAAGCTAAATAACTTTGACCTGAACCCCCTCATTCTGATCACTGCCAGTTTTTAACTCTGTGAGTAGATCACAGTCTCTTGAGAGTTGGCCACCCCTGAGATATCTGAACAGCCAGACCTGCATGTGGTGCTGTAAACAAATAAGCAGCCTTAAACAAGCCTTACTTTTTTGTGTTTTGCTGGTTCACGACAGCCGTTTCATCATAAACCATGGTGGAACGAAGGGGAAAGATCCCCCCCTTCCTTCTTTATCTTTTGCAAGGTTTCCAAGGGTTTTTCCTATTTTCCCCTTTCATTTTGGGGTCAATATTTTCACGCATTGGAAATTTCCCCCATAGGAATCAAATCACCAACTTGTTATGGTGAACGCTTGCCTAAAAAAGGATTTCCTGAGTTCGGATAGTGGGACTTGTGTGGTGCATCCACCAACCAGAACCCTTTCTTTACATGCCCTCTAGTGGTCACATGATCAATATCAGCATGATGGGGGCTGGTGCTAGAACAGATGTTCCCACATATGTAGGTCTGTAGGGGCAGGTACGGTCTCCCTTGGGCGGTGGTGGACTCTCCTTCCTTGTAGGTTTTTAAGCAGAGTTTGGATGGCCATATGTTATGGATGCTTTAGCTGAGATTCTTCCATTGCAGGTGACCCTAGATGACCCTTAGGGTCCCTTCCAATTCTAGAATTGGAATTCTAGAATTCTGATTCTTTGGCAGAAGATTGGCAAGCAAGCCAAACAGCTGACCCAGCCTCATTTCCTATAGCCCACAGATTGGTTGCAATTGCTATCTTATCACGCTGCTAGTAATGTCAGAGTGCAGGCAGGACAGAACTGTCATCTCCTTGGCTGGTTTTACAGAATGCTGGGGGACTTGGAAGCTGCTCTGTTTCTCATTGACACTGACGTTGTCCCTCTCTCTTGTCATTTGCAGATCCCTTTGCTAGAGCTGAGAGTAAGTACCGGTAACTAATAATAATAATTTATTATTTATACCCCGCCCATCTGGCTGGGTTTCCCCAGCCACTCTGGGCGGCTTCCAACTGAATATTAAAAACAGTACAGCATCAAACATTAAAAACTTCCCTAAAGAGGGCTGCCTTCAGATGACTTTTAAAAGTAAAATAGTTGTTTATTGCTTTGACATCTGCTGGGAGGGCGTTCCACAGGGCAGGAGCCACTACCGAGAAGGCCCTCTGCCTGGTTCCCTGTAACCTTACTTCTCGCAATGAGGGAACCGCCAGAAGGCCCTCGGCGCTGGATCTCAGTGTCCGGGCTGAACGATGGGGGTGGAGACGCTCCTTCAGATATACTGGACCGAGGCCCGTTTAGGGCCATTTAGGGCCAACTAGGATTGGTTGTGATGTTTTCCTTCTGTTCCCATCCTGTCCTTTGAGACCACCTGAACATCAGGGCATGTCTACACTACACATTTAAAGTAATGTGGTTGCGATTGTAAACCTGGGAACTATAGTTTTGCCTTGGAGAGGCTGCTAGACAGGGAAAACAACCCCAATGGTCCCTTCTGTGAGTTGCTCTTGTTAAAATAGATTTGCTTTGGGCTTGAACTTAAGTAGGCATACCATCAAAGAGCAGTGGGTGTGAAATGTAGGTCTAAGCTGCCCCTTTCTATGAATATTGTCATTTATTAAGTACTTACCACCTGTTAGGCTACAGGGAATCCTATCCCTCCCACGGTGGCAGTCAAGAAGCAGATAAACAAGAAGAGTTCTTACCAAGTAGTTTAGTCAATATTCACAGAGAGAGAGATGCAGGAATACGGTCTTTCTTAGATAATGGTGTTGCTCCAAGTCCCACCCCCTCAGTCTCCCTTATCCTACGTCATCCCTGCTCTGGCTAATCTGTGCTTTCTGCCTCTGAGCTTTCTGTTCTACTACTCTCAATGCACGCCAGGTCCTGGGAGAAGGGGGGTCAGGAATGCTTTCCAAAGACACTGAGTCTGTCAGCTGTCTCTCCCCTGGTGCTTCTTCTTCTTCCTGCTGTTCCTCTCCCAATATTTCCCAGCTTCTCCCCTCTGCAGCCCCTTCCACAAACCACTGTTGCAAATCTATACTGTCCTTCTCTTCTCGGGAACGTTCATGTTACGTTGTGGGTGAACATATCAGACGACACAGCAATTCTTCAAACAGCTCTTGTTTATTCAGAGGCCAGAACAGAACTGAGCTGAAGGGCTCAGTCAGCCTGCTTATATATATAGAGCTCTAGTACAACGTTACTGTAGCAACTTTCTAAAACTATCCAATCACTGAACGTCACTTTCGATCCTTCATTTGCATAACTATCTACAGTATACCCCTGCTGGCACAGGGTGAGAACTTCAGTACATAACAGTTCAGGAAGGGGAGGCGATCCCCACCATTCCTCCTCAGTCCAGTCCCTGACATCACCATGCATAGATATCCACATGATAAGCCGGTTGTCTATATTTCCCTGCCAAATTATGAGAACTGAGCCATACACCTGTACTTCTGCATTCTCCTATTCATGGGATGCAATCCAATAGCGGAATTAGTCTCAACCTGTTGTAAGACTCAACAGAAGGTTATGTGCCCCCACTGTGGTAAATGTTAATAACTATTTGGTCAACGGTTGCCTGCATTCACCCAAACACCTGCCAGCAACTGCTAAAGCAATATGAGAAGCGCCACAAGAAGATGCCAATTGCCTTTCTGAATTAGCCCCCAAACTATTGCAAACTAAATGTGATGTCAATTGCCTGAATGCAATCAAAATGTACATTTTTACTATATAAATGGCAGCCTCAGGACTGTGAGGATGGAGGCGGGGAGTGGGGGATTTAACTTTGTCACCCTGCCAAGTTCCAATAAAAGAAAACACCTCCCCAAAGCCGCTTTTTGGTTTTCAAGGGAAGATTCCATTGGTAAGCGTGGAAGCGTCATTTGAAATGCAAATACAGCACACCTGCATCATACATGCATATTATTAGCGTGAATTCAGCTGTGGCAGCAGGAGGAAGGGGAGGGACCAAGGCAGAAGGGAAGAGAAAGAAATCTGTCTCTTTTGGCTGCAAGACAAAGATGGAAGCTCTGCGAGGGGAATAAGGGGATCTCATAAGGACTCTCAGCACCCTTAACAAATGTTCCCAGGATTCCTTGGGGGAAGCCATAGTGGCATGATACTGTTTTGAATGTGTTATACAGGGGTAGGGGGACTCCATTGCAACAGAAAAAATAAATATCTGCCTTGCTTTTCTTCTACTGGTTATAGCCTCCATGCCTTCTTCTCTGGACTTAGGGGACTCTGAGCCCCTTGGGGAGTTGGGCTGTAAAGGCCACCCCCCAATTTTGTACAACAAGTATATGGTCAGACATGGGTGTAGCCAGGATTTTTGTTAGGGGAGGGAAGAAACTGAGCTATGCATTTTTATTTATTTTTATTGATTGGGGGGCAGCTGCCTCTCTCTGGCACCCCTGGGCTACGCCAAAGGGTGCAAATGGAGACAAATCCATTCCGTTAGGAGAAATTGCTTTGCCAAAGTGTGCATGTGTGGAGAAACTTGCACCAAGATGCTGATAAATTTCCACAAGGGCTTTAAAATCATCCCCATCATCTAATGTGAAAATGTCAAGAACTAAAGATCGGGGAGAGTTAGAAACTGAGAGGATTCCTTTATCCCTACCCCAAATGCAGCTTAGGACTAAGGTGGGTCTCAGGTTGGAAAAAGTTGAAGACTGCTGCCATAGAGGACTGTCCTGTCATCTTTGTTGACTCTACAGTCATACCTTGGTTGTCGAACGCCTTGCAACTCAAACGTTTTGGCTCTTGAATGCTGCAAACCCAGAAGTGAGTGTTCCAGTTTGCGAACATTCTTTGGAACCCAAAAGTCCGCCACAGCTTCTGCAGCTTCCAGTTGAGTGCAGGAAGCTCCTGCAGCCAATCGGAAGACGCACTTTGGTTTTCGAACATTTCCGGAAGTCAAACGGACTTCTGGAACGGATTCTGTACGAGAACAAAGGTATGACTGTACTGCCAGTCTAGTCAGCTCCTGCTCACGGTTTGCAGGGACGGGAGCTCAGGCAAGAGCATTTCTTGGGATAACCCAGCCTCCTTCAGGATGTGGTTCATCTGGTTATGTGAATATTGCTATTGCTGCAGCCAAGCAAACGAACCTCACAGTCCTTTTGGTCTTATCCCAGGATCCTAATGGGAACCGAATAGGCCAATGGGTAGACGTGAAGCCTCACCATGGCATTGTGGATCTGTCTTTCCCTCTGGCCTCGGAAGCGGCCCTGGGATCGTATACCTTCAAAATGGGAGAGGACTACAGAAATAGGAAAGCATTCACTGTGGAGGAATATGGTAAGTTTCTGGGGAAGACCACATGGCTTGTGAGAATCGTTCTAAGAATAAAAGGAAGCATATGTTCAGGGAAGTTTTTAATGGTTGATGTTTTGTTGTGCTTTTAATACTTTGTGGGGAGACGCCCAGAGTGGCTGGGGCAACCCAGTCAGATGGGTAGCATATAAATAATAAATTGTTATTGTTATTGTTAGGTTCCAAGTCTATGGGGCTGAGGACAGCTCAGCCCTACCCCAAAGTATGTGGGGATGGGCCTAAGTCCTTCCAATCTTGAGTGGCTGAGCCCCGTCGGGCCTCCCCACAGCAGCAGAGGGGGCCATCGTCCCTCCCTGCTGTGGCGGAAGGCCCCATGTCGGCAGGATTCAGAAGTAATGCCCTTTTGGGGGAGAAGAAATTACTCTAAGCAAGGAAAGGGTAGTCAGAGCCACATCTGTGGTTGGCCTAGCACAGATGCTTGGGGGCCAGTGGCTCAAGTCTTGAACCAGCTAACCCCGCCGGTGTCTTGGGAAGCCGAGATAGCTGAGTTTGGAGGGCCAATTCCTAATGCCATGCTTAAATGCTTGGAGGCAGCAGGAATGGGAGAGAAAGCGGGGCAGGGCTTGGATGGTTTTTGCTGACTGCTCTCCGAGATGTGTGGCAGGAATTAGAAGCTACTTGGAAGAAAGGTCAACAGCTGGCTGGCAGGGCGCCCATAACGTCATCCGTATCAGCAACTCCTCGGAATACAAATATCTTCCGGATAGATTGTCCATATACATGGGGCCATCTGCTGTGGTAGCAGGCCCCGCCTGGCCTCCCCATGCTGGTGGAGGGCCACATCAGGCCTCATGGCTTCCTTCCGATGTGCGTGAACTTGGCGCTTTTGAAAGGAAGAGAGATTTGCCTGCCCTGAAGTCCCTTTCAATACTGCCGTTTTCAGCTTTTCAAAATGCAGAAGGCAAACACAACAGCAGGGATCTCTACACGTTGATCATTAGGTCATCTGCAGAAAAGACTCATGCCTGTACAGTAAGCCTGCAACTTACACACATTTAGCTTTTGCACATCCAGCTTTATGTGCTTGGCAAAAAAATAAAATGGGGGGGGGAGCAGAAAGGGGGCAGGTGTTCGGGGGGGGGAGAGACTTTGGCGATCCCACCCACCATTGAACCCAATGTATTTTGACTAGATGCGATTTTGGTTTTGGGGCTGATCACTGGAACATAACCCCCGCCATAAGTTGCGGGCTTACTATACAACTGTGGAGGGGGGGGTCAGGGGGGCTCCTGCTTGTGTTGCCTTGTGCACACACTCATTCCCCATGCTAATTCTGTCTAGACGTTGTGAATGGCAAAGTTACTAGCTCTTCAATATGTTGCTGTCTTTCCTGGAACAAATGCAGCAGTGATGTTCTCTAGAGAAAAGATCTGGGAGGAGATAGAAATGTGAGGTGCTGATGAGAGAGAGAGAGAGAGAGAGAGAGGAGAGAGAGAGAGAGAGAGAGAGCGCTACATTTATATCCTACCTTTCCTTCAATGAGTTCAAGGTAGCATATACAGTGGTATCTCTGGATACGAATGGGATCCGTTCCGGAGCCCTGTTCGCATCCAGAAGCAAATGTAACTAGCGACGGCATGTCTGCGCACGCGCACGTTGCTTTTCGTCGCTTCTGTGTATGCGCGTGGCATCATTTTGAGCATCTGCGCATGCACGAGCAGCGAAACTCGGAAGTAACGCACTCCGTTACTTCTGGGTTGCCGTGGAGTGCAACTCAAATGCGCTCAACATGAAGCATATTCAACCCGAGGTATGACTGTATACTCTTGTGAGGTAGGTTAGGCTGAGAGGCGACAATTGGTCCAAAGTCACCCACCCATGGCTGAGTTTGGGCGGGTTCAACTCTGGTATCCTTGGTCCTTATCAAACACTCTAAGCACTGTACTGGCTCACAAATGCATCTCATGCAATGTCCCAGTGAACACAGTTGGTGAAGAAATGCATACTAATTTGACACCTGTCGCTTTGCAACCATCCCACATGCGACAGAGAAAAACGAGGAGATCAAGTTAGGTCAAAACCTTATTGCATCGCCAGCTGGCTATGATAATATAATGCTAAAAATGACCCTGAAGGAAGGCAAAACAATGCCTCCTTTTCCTTCCACCCACCCGCTAAATTAAAGCACCTACATCTATAGGTGTGTGCATTTTAAGTTCAGTTTAGGGCCAAGCAAGATATGATATGCAAGATCCATACAGAGGATCTCTTCTGGTTTGGAGCTTTGTTAATTTGCTTTTAAAATCAAAATACGCTGCAGAAGCAAAATCTGACCAGACAGCAGCACTTGCTGGAGTTAACGTTCTCCTCTCGTATCTTTTAATCCAAATGCAATTACCCAGAACTATTGGTCTTGGTGTTTTTAGCAATCTGCTATTCCAATTCTTCTTCTTCTTCTTTTTAAAGCATCCCTTACTGCTCTTCTTCTTCTTCTTCTTCTTCTTTCCATTGCAGTGCTGCCTAAATATGAAGTGCTGTTTGAACTTCCGCAACTTGTCACCAGAGCAGATGAAGAAGTTCAAGTCAAAGTGCTTGGCAGGTAAGCAAAATCTTGTGTGTCCTCAAAGACCATGCCAATGGTTGATGGAGAATATTTCATCCCCCAATAATGAGGACAGAATAGGCGGGCATCAGAACTGTGTCCTTTTCCCCTGCTCTGTTTCTGGAGGACTAAATTGCAGACGAAAAAAAAGGATATTCCAAGCACCTGAGGTATTTGGTAAAGCAAATCTGTTTGTTCCAGTCCGGCTTCTTTCCTTTCACCTTTTTCTCTCTTTCCCTTCCAGTGACCTATCAATTATGGTCTAGTTTTTTGTTTGTCTGTCTGTCTGTCCAGAAAGCTTCTTTCCTTTCCTGTCACTTTGCCAGAAAAAGTCAAGCACCACTTCTTCCCTCCCTGCTCCCTCATACACATACTTTCCACATTCCCTGCATTTCTCCACAACAGGCCATCAAGTAATCTTTGCATCTGCATGTGAAACATTATTGGGAATGATTCTGCCACAACTGTGGAGTCGAAAAGCTATAACGACTAGTGAAATTTTCATTCCCTTCAGAAAGTCTCTGGGTGGTATAAAAGGATTGTTCTGGCATGCCTGCCTCCAGTCTTTTCTCAGACAGTGTGGATCAGGTCAGGAGTTCCAGCTTGGCCCCACGACTGTGGTGCCCAGGGCTGTGGGTGCCATGCAGCGTGCTTGGCCCTGGCACCAAAATTTGTGGGTGCCCGGCCCTTCATGGGGAATTTTGTGGGTGCTCAGACACCCAAGGCCCCAGGGAATCGGCACCTATGGATCAGGTGTTCTTTCCTTCAGTGTGAATTCACAGGGGAAATCTCTCCCTAAGGCTGGTCCACTCTTTCATTTACCGTATCCAAAATGCAATGAGCTTTGCTGTGATAAAATGGGCTGATGTGTTGTTTCTCAACTCAGCTTGGAAACCCTGAAGCCTTTCCTAGCTCATCTGTAGCCAAGACATGAAAACACCTTTTTATAGGGATAAAGCAGGGGTCAGCAAACTTTTTCAGCAGGGGTCCAGTCCACTGTCCCTCAGACCTTGTGGGGGCCAGACTGTATGTTGGACAAAAATGATGGAAGAGCACCACGAGGCCCCGGTGGCTGCCTTACCTGTGTCTTGTGAGCGACAGGGCTGGCCGGGTGGCCGATGGCGGAGGGGACGATGCAGCGGCGTGCAAAAGGGCTTTGGAGAGGGGCTGCTTAAAATGGCAACTGCTCGAGCGCTGCTAGCTGCATGGGCACCAACAAGGCCCAGCCCCCTTCCTCCTCTAGCAGAAAAAAGACAGTCATGGAACTGAGAAAATTGCACCAAACAAATGAAATACCATGAAAATCCCTGAAATGAGAAGTAATTGACTAGAAATCGATCCCGTTAAGGCTTTGTTCAATTTTAGGTTTTTCTATTTTTCCCCTTAAAGTTTTTGATTTTTATTATTTAGTTTATTTCCATAAGACAATATTTCTAGTCACATTACTTCTCGTTTCAGGGATTTTTCATGGTATTTCATTTGTTTTGTGCCCCTTCCTCCTCTAGGCAGGGCAGGGAGAAGCCAGGAGGAGGGAGGGAGGAGGCGCCGCTGCTGCCGGCGTGTGAGGGAGAGGGAGGAGAAAGCCCGTGCTGGCAATCCATGTGTGCGATTCCTGGACCATCTGCAGGGCTGGGATCCAGAAGGCAATTGGGCCTGATCCGGCCCACGGCCCCTGGTTTGCCTACCCATGGGGATAAAGACATCCCTGCCCTGTCAATGTCTATAGTGTTGTATCACAAGCAGAACAAATTCTCACCACTGTTTGAGGGCGTGTTTATGTGAACAGCTGGGAGGAAAGTGCTGGGAGAACTGCAACTTTGCTATGCTCAAAAGGCAGTATATGTGAACAACACGCCCCTAAAGTGATTTTTCCTACATAAATTGTTCAATCAAGAAGTCTCTCTGTTTTTTGCGTGCTACCAGCTCCCATTTCCACACCACCACCACCCCAGACAAATTAAAGCTGCTACTGTTTTCTTTAAGGGTTTTACTTTATGATACTGTTCCCCACCTTCTGCTGCACGAATGACACATATGGAAGCCTGTTGTGTGGAAAGTAGATCTACATGTAACTCGAGACACATCATTTTACTTTTTTATGACACGCCAGTGAGACAACTCGATGCAATTCAAATGCACCACACAGGCCAGGTAAGCTAACTGAAGGGCTGAGACAAGTGGCTATACTCCGGCCCTGAAATGCCATTCTGTTGCCCTTGGCTCTAAAATGAGAGTCCTTAACCAGCTGCCTTTGCCTCCAAATATCATTTTTCATCTCTGTTTCCTCAGACAGACAAGAATGGGTTTATGTTTCTTTCACAATTAATGCAACCGATTTTAAAGCTGCCTGAGAGAGGCTATACGGATTTTGTTCGGCTTTCTGCGGAATTTGAAGAAGAAGGAACAGGTACAGAAATGGGGAAATAGAGGTTTTGATGTTTAGTAACCTTCCTTTGGGATGCGGGTGGCGCTGTGGGTTAAACCACAGAGCCTAGGACTTGCCGATCAGAAGGTTGGCGGTTTGAATCCCCGCGACGGGGTGAGCTCCTGTTGCTCTGCCCCAGCTCCTGCCAACCTAGCAGTTCGAAAGCACGTCAAAGTGCAAATAGATAAATAGGTACCGCTCTGGCGGGAAGGTACACGGTGTTTCCGTGCACTGCTCTGGTTCGCCAGAAGCGGCTTAATCATGCTGGCCACATGACCTGGAAATTGTACACTGGCTCCCTCGGCCAATAAAGCAAGATGAGTGCCGCAACCCCAGAGTCAGCCACAACTGGACCTAATGGTCAGGGGTACCTTTACCATTACCTTTAACCTTCCTTTAGACCTCATACTCTTGTTTGATCTTCTCTTTCTCCCTTTCTACTTTCACGACATTTTTACAGTTTTTAAACAGTAGATTTGGGGGAGGTGGGCATTGCTTCTGTGCGGTGCATTTTCAGGGCCTCAGATCCTTCAAGTGTCCCTGTTTTCCAGGAACAGTCCCAGATTTACAGACGTCGTCCCAGTTTCTGATTTGATCCCAGAATGTCCTGCTTTTCTTTAGGACATCCCTATATTCATTGGAGAAGTGTTGGAGGGTATGGAGCTATCCAACCCTTGAGCCATCTGAAGGCAGCCCTGAATGGGGAAGTTTGTAAATGTTTTATTATGTTTTTATATATGTTGGAAGCTTCCTGAGTGCTGGAGCAACCCAGTCAGATGGGTGGTGTATAAATAATGAAATAATAATAATAGAACAGGACATCCCTATTTGTATTGGAGAAATGTTGGAGGGTGTGGAGAGGTGTCTCCTTGCAACCTGGACACAAGATAATGGGTGAGAAATGCAAAACACTTATCTTGGCCAAGCTGCTGTTGAAATCCTGGACCTTTATCCAAACTGCTCTTACACCTACAAACTAAATAAGGACCTGGGAACTGCAAAGAAGGATTTGGCGTGCAGGGTGGGGGAACTGAAAATGAGAATCCAACTTTATCCTCCTCAGTGCTCATTTTGAGAATGACTTTTATTCCAAAAGGAACGTCCCTCCATGTTGAGAAGCGGGAGGACAATTTGCTTTTCAGATCCACAGAGCCTGCCTGGCACATAATTATCGCGGCTCATCTTTATTAAACACTATCTCTGTCCTTGTTTTGCTCCCTTTGCTGATAGATGTAACCTCAATACTGTTGCTATGGCTACAGTAACAGTAGCTGGGAAGATTTTGTTTGTTGTAAACAAACCCGGCTACACTAGTGGGAATTTGAGCTGAGAGCTTCCAATTCTTTACCTCTCCTTAGGATAAAAAATAGATTTTCATTACCATTAATGCGATCTGGATCTGGAGTTCCTTACTAACACATACTCAAATACACAGCTGTGGGAGGGGGGGAACATTCACTCCCCCCAAAAATGCAGAGACAAATCTAATTATATTTCCCTCTCCAAAACAGCAACCAGGGATGGCCTATCCAGGGCGGTGTGTTATAGATAGGTCTGTTATTAAGTTATGTATTTTTGTGTTTTTATACTGTAAACCACCCTCTGATCCTCTGATGAAGCGTAGTATATAAATTTAACAAATAAATAAAAATAAAAAATCTGTCACTTTCAGTTTCTCAATTTCCAGTGTTAAATTCATGGTGTGTTTTTTAAGATTTCCAAATCAGTTTGTATTTTTCAGAAAGTCATCACAAGACTTTTGTAGCTTCTTAGTGAAAATTTCTTCCAATATAAACATCTTTACAATCACTTATCTCTAATAAACTGATTTTTTTTGGTGTCATTTCCATCATTTGTGCCTTTTAATGAATATAATATATGCACCTTTCTACACGTTGTCGTGGGGCAGGGTGGCAAATTGCATCGCAGCATTTGGAGAACTGCAAATTTCACAGGGAAGCTGTGCTCTGGTCCAGATACGGCTAGTAGCTGTTGGTAGCCTTTCCCTCCACGGTAATGCTTCTTGCTTAAATGATGGATTGGGGGGGACATGTTGAATGGAGCCTCCTTTACAAATATAAGAGTC